TGATTAGACTCACCTTACATAAATGTTAAATTGTATTTGCTTAAGCATTCAGCAAGTAATTAGTATTTGTACATAAATGATTTCGCAACAAGTAGGAGTCCTGAGAGCTAGTGACTTCATTTTTATCCCATGTACAGCAGTACCACAATCTCATTTATTGATGGGGGAGTGGCAACAGGAAATGAGGCGGCTGCAGTACCAGATGAGCAGAGTTCCTAATTACATAGTTAGTCTTTACCATCTGATTAGTTCTGCTGACTGACGCTGACACTGCTTGCACACTCAAAGTTAGTGGCTGTTTAAACAGCTTGCTGAAATAGGGTCCTGAAGCTGTCGAAACCTGCATTTAAGCAGGATTCAAAACGCAGGCAATTGTTTCTGTACTAGTGCATATATCTACATTATTTTATTTAGATTTTTTTCCATTTGCATATCCTCCCATATAAAAATGCATACGGCAAGTTTCTAAGAACCTTTTCTGATCACGTGTCCCAGGTACACAAAGATATAAATCTTCATGCTGCAAATAAAGAATGCAACGACCAAGCTGTGATTATTCTCCGGACCTGGTCAAAGAAACCTGCATCAGCGTGGAACTTCTAAACAGGGAAGCCAAGCTTCATAAAGAAAATGTTGCTTTGTCTGGAAGCAGCAGTCCAGAAGATGTTTTCAGTCCCTGTGAAATGCAGGCAGTATCAGTTTGTATGGACACCACCATGCCTCCAGGTGACTACATTCGAAGACGAGGTTATACAGAGTCTTCACTCCTGAAGCTTCCCACAGAGGAGTGCATTGGGAGCCATCATGCACCTTTCCAGTTTGACCGGCATGCTTTGGCCAGAATTTCCACTTCTCCAACTTTAAGGCGTCTAAGGATGGCGTCTGCCTCACAAGCACTGTCATTTCAGGACTGCTCTGACACAGCTCAGCTGGAGAATCAAAAGGAATACACTGGCTCTCTCCACCACATTTGTAAGAGTCCACCTCGGTGCACTACAGCTTCCTCATTGTCGTTGCCTTCTTGTGTCCATGCAAAATTACTGTCTTCCAAAGCCAAGTCTGAGACAACTGAAGCAGATCCAGAGTCTGCCAGCACCAGATCAAAGCTGCCAAGCCAAAAAGACCCGCTCAGCAATGGCAGTCCCAATGAGACACTCCAAAACTCTTGGAGAGCCAACTTTGCTACGCTGCCGAGGAGACTCCTCCACCCCAGCCCTACACAACAGGAGGGTGTCCAGGTAAAAGGAGTAGGATGATGCGACCTCCTTTTCAGTCTTGCATATTCAGTGTTGGTCCATCATGGCCCAGTGCACAAACAAAACCACAGTTCTTAACCTGAATTGCAACCTGGCCCTCGTTCCTTTGATACAACAGACCAACTTCTATGGTCATCAGGAAAGGAGGTTTTTTTTCCTTCCAAATCAGCAAGAGACAATGGTTCCAGCCTTGTCTCTCAGTGACCAGGTTGGCCTAGTCCGCTCCTGCACATGGCCACTCTTTC